TCCCTACCCATCCGTGGTGGTTTAGGGATTCGCAAATTTCAGTGTCGCTTTACCAGCCTTTCTATCTTCTTTCATAGTTCAGCAAATCTCATGTAAAATTTTAAGGGCATCCCTTTCAAACTTTGAGATTGCTGGCTTGGAAGAAGCTAGAAACGCTTTCTTGATTGCAGCCCAGGTCAAAATTTTCCATTATCTCTAAATTCAAGAGGAACTGGGATGACATACACTACAAGTTGACTTTTGACGATTTTTGAGTCGTGTACGGGTTCGGCGCGTGTAGGCTTTTGGCCGTGGGCACGCATGAGGGCCGGCTACTGGCTTCACGCTTACCCATCGTCAAATACAGGAACTTTTCTTGAGCCTGACACGCTTCGAATGCAACCTGTAGCTTGGGCCGGTCTGGTCCTCATTATGTCCCTGTGGGTGATGTCGACAGTTGGAATACGGCTGTCATGCCAAAAAGGAGGCCGCTTCTCGAGACATGCCGCACTTAACGATATCATACGCCGTTCCCTTGCCACCGTCAGTGCCAAGTCTTCTTGAGCCAAGTGGTATTGCAAGAGACGATGGCAAGAGACCGGACGGTATGAGTTTGATTCCTTAAGAAGAATTAGTCTAGCAATTCAAAGGGGGAACGCTGCCAGTATCTTCGGAACCTTGCCTAAAGGGACTCCTTTTAATGATATATTTTAGTTTATGTTAAGTTTCGTTATTTATTCAATGTATATTTTTATTAGTTTATGTTTATAAGTTTAATTTTATTAATATTGTTACCATTACACTATATTCCAGATTAAATTATTATATCTAACATATAGTATATAAAACTTGACGGAGAAGAAAAATATGTGTTTATTCAATAGGAATATACCTTTTATTTCAATAATATATTCAAGATTTAAATAGAAAAAAATAAGACAAATTACAATCGTAGTTTATATTTTTTAACCTTCACAACGGCAATTGCAATTACATTGTAAAAAACTAGTTTTTATAAGGATATACGACTGGCGCCATAGTTATGAAAATTATACAAAGAATTTCATTATTAACAACATATAATTACGAACGCATTAAACCCTTATCGAGCATCTGACGTCAGCGAATTCCTTTCTAGCTGTAATTGATTTATAAGGCATAATAAAGAAACATGATATATAACATATAGGTTATAAGTCCTATAAAAAGTTAACTTAGCATTGGTAAAATATATAAACTTTACTTTTGTTGTTGCTGTGACCTTTTGCCTATAGCGAGATAACATTATTAGTTGATAAAGATGCTAGCGTTGATATTTTATAATAACACTGACCGGACCCGACAGACGTGCACACGTTCTTAAATGCAAAAAAATCTAATTGTAAATCTAAACCATTATCGATTCAACTTGAACTTGAATCAAAATCGGTCAGCCGTTTAGGAGGAGTTTAATCAAACACACAGGATATTTATATAAAAATCTTGAACAACAGGTGACTACATCTGTCTAGAGATTTCGATGAATTTGCATGAAGAGCATCATAAGATCCTCCTGACTTCGACTGATAGGGGGATGAGAAGGTAAATCATTGTGATTGGACAAATGGATGCAACATGACGTATACGTCAATGCGTATTGGACTAGATACTGTTGACCAATCACATTCGAATGGAACACACAACTATTTTGCCTGTCGTTAAATTCACCCCCTTGATGACGATCTGATTACTAAGAAATAAAACCAGGGGATTAACCTTTATAAGCTGGTTTAAAGTAAATTAAAATATTCTCTTCAAATAATTGAAAATCAACAACAAGGACAATATATAAGTAAATTTAATATCTTGTCTCCAACCTACTTCGAGTTCGCTTTATCTGTTCTTGTAAAGGTTATGAACTAAATACGCCGAAGTTGTGCAAACAACGACATTACCAAATCATATTACATTTTTAATTATGCTGGCAAGTTATTAAATTTTTTGTGGCAATCGTTCCATCGGAGTATTATAGACTGCACTACTCTGCGCACACGCTTGTGTAGGTACTATACAATCTGTGTCTTGCAAATATTATTTATATAACTATTTTGTTTTTTGCTAGCGAAACCCCAAATATTTCGATCCACTGAATTTTGTAACAGATTTTGTTATTCAATGGATACGAAATTTGTATAAAAACATTAAAAAACTTTATAAAGGACTAGATTTGTTAATGATAAAAAGTAAAGATCAAAAATACTAATATCTAATAGACATGACACAGAAGATATTTTTGCAAAACTTTGAAAATTATAAGTAACAGAATATAAGTATATTAAATGCTCTTTACCAATTAAAAATTGCATAGACCCAGAGATAAGATTGCAAATAACAGCTATTACACTCGTGGCGATTGGAATACGTGACTCGAGGCTCGAATACTCGACCTCTGTACGGCGCTACCACATTTAGCATTGAACGTTAATATATAATAAACAAGGGTTATTCTTTGAATGCAGGTACAAACAAAAATGATTCAAACACTGGCTTCAGTGGCGTTAAAATACAGTACTCTTTACTTGAATTCATTACAATCCGTATATATCTATATATTATACCCTTAGGGCAAACAACGTGAAATTGACGTTATAACTTATAGTATAAATGAATGCGTCGAAAACTGGAATAGTTAACGTATTTGAAACTATACGAACATCGTTTAGATAGAGAGGATCTATTTGTATATGATTTGTATAAATTTTTATGTAAGTATACAAATCTTCTTGTGTGTAATTAAACTCCTCTAAACGGCTGGACCGATTTTGATGAAATTTTTTGCGTGTTCAAGTAGATTGGATAATGATTAATATTTTCAAATCGATGTCTTTTTTTAATTGTTGTATTTAAGACGTATGTACCTACTGCGCAATATGTCGGGTCCGCTATTTATATGAATAAATGCTTTTGAAGTGTCAAAAATGTATTCAATAATATTGACGTAAACGAATACGTGAAACTATTGTAATATTATTAGTAAATTAATTAGTGTGGCCAAATCTTTCCACCCATAACTATTATTAATCAAATAATAAAGAAACGTCTTATTTAGATTTTAACAAACGTTGACGCAAGTAATATCTAATTAGGTAATATATTTCCGTTAATAAGTTCTCATCGCGTCACGAACATTCCGAAGTAAAAAGGGATTATCGCGTCAGACGCCATATGTGCCAAAGTCCTTGCACACTGCACCTTAGTGTGAATTTTTTCGTACTTACTCTAACTCGCTTCATTTTTAATATTCTCTCAGATTATAACGTATTTCATTAAAACGGTTCAAATACGTCTGCAGTATGAAAATAATTTTAACTTTAGTTTTTTCAATAAATAATTTCTTAATTAAAAATTTTGTGTGGAGGCGAGAGTAACTTTACATATCATTACTAGTGGGGTTCAATTTAATTATTCTCATTTTTTTTGTTGCGCATCGAATTTCTGAACATATATTATTATCAAACAACTCTTAACAAGGCTAGTGATGTATAAACACTAATAAAACAATTAACTCGTGAGTCACAGGTCCAGGATTATGGTAAGGTCAATTCAATTTATCCATCAAAATGGTTGAGGGTTTATGATAAGATTAGCTATGATATCAAAGGCGACCGTCATAGGTATTTTACTTTAGACTCTGAAGCATAGCAAGTAAGCCCTATCCATTGACAGATTCATGCCGTGGTTTTCAAAATAAGTCTATTACCAGAAAGCAGTATCAAATCCAATAATTTAGTTATTTTAATCCAATAATTGGCCAACAAATGTAGCATCTTTCTTGAAACTGAGGACAAATAAATTATTTTACTAGAATTATATTACAATTATTTGTTTGTTAGTAAGCTTTGTTCTATTAAGTTAGCAACCTAAGGTTAGTATGGTCTACGTTTGGCGGGGGTAAGGATAGGGCTCAGCTGTTACCTGCCTCCGCCCTTTGGCGAGCTGAAGGCATCCGTCAGGTTTTAGTGGGTAGGGTTATATATATTATGTCTGAGTCCCACATAATCCCTGCTGGAGTAAAATTAGCAGATATGCGTAAAGATTTCCTGACTTAAAAAAAGTATGGTCTACGTACGACAAAATACTAATATTATCGAATACAATGGTTGATCCTTTATACTAAAATCAAATGAGTCTCCTACTTGGTTTAAAAAACGAAGAAATCATGATGCTTCATACGTGTTTGCGCGTACACAAATCCCATAGGATTTCACTTTATACTGTGTAAAATAAAGCTCGTGTAGATTGATGACTTCATCTTGTTTAACCGGTTAAGTTTGATCATGTAAACAACTGTAACTGTACATTTAACCATTCAAAATATTCAATCCGAGGTATGTATATACTTTAGGAAGTTAAGAGTCAAAGTCGCGTAAAAAATATGCATCCTAAACAAACCACAAATTCAATCTAGACTAGTTCTGTTTGAAGTCTGTCAATGCTTCATACTAGAGTGTGTCTAAAGTTATTGGTTGCTTTCGGATTCTAAAATCGATAAGGTCTCGTCCCGGTTGACCCTAGTTCCATAATAATAACGAAACTTTGAAAGGCTTCATCAGAAGCATCTATTGCAAAAGTCAAGTCGACATGTCGTAATACTAGGTAAACCTCTCGCACACATTCTGTATCAACATATCGGAACAAATACTTCATTTGTAAATATTTAGTTTCGAAAAAAGTAAAAAATTACACAAGTTAAGAATATTCTTAATTTTATACAATATAATTAATTTGAACCGACTCATCTTGAGCGTGAATTGTTTTCACAAACACAAAAATAAACAAATTAATAAAAAAATAAACGTGTCCAACTCAAAACCACCTTTTTAGGTTTTTTCGAAGTAGAGTTTTTAAATATATTAAGATCTATTATTTAATGATTATTCTACCATGTAAAAATTACTTATTAAAGAATAGTATTCCAATCTTTACCTCGCAGCTTTCTACAAAATAAAGACGTGTTAAATAAAGTTTAACACTTACCAAAACTACCACTTTCCATAGGTTGGATTCTTGAAAGACGACGTTGGTGGTTTGTATAAAGGATTTTCTCCCGTGCAGTCTTCGGCACCAATATTCTGGTACATTGGGTCATTGAGGGGCAGCGCTGGCGGCCTGTTCTTCCACACGAGGTATCCGGCCGTTGCCGCTACTGCTGCCACAACTGCTATAATCCCTAGGACTATTGGCAGTGTGACTGGAAAAAAATAGGTTTATTTTAAAACCAATTTGAAAATGACATTAAAAGTTCAAGTAGCTCAGATCCAGAACACTTATTGAATCCGAAATTATTAGGTGATAGCAGAACATTCTTGCTTTTTAATTAAATATATTTAACTTAACTTTTAATAAGTTAATAATAATAATCCTTAAAAAGGGTGAGAAGCTCTATAATGTAGGAATAATTTTATCTTGATAGAACTGAGGGTACCTAGTGTATTCAGAAGTTATATAGATAAACACAAAGCTTCCGTGTGTGTTGTCTAATTATCCATTTTTATGTTAGCTTAGATACATATAAAAATAAATCCAGCCGTATTATGGACTTGTGCCACAGAAAAATAAACAGATAATGACTCTATCATAACACTAATGATGTTACCATTTGTCGAAAAGAGAAAGGGATAGTGCAGGTTGGGAATTGTATATGATAGACTGAGATGAAAACTATGAAAGAAAACAGCTGGTGGTCGAATGCAGATTGTGTACATTGCACAATGCTTTGTTATGATACCATAAAGTTGTTTCATAAAAAATGTTTATGAACAAAATTTTGATGACACGGTGGAAGCAAACGGAATAAATTACGGATGACAGCTAAATATATTTGTATAATTTACAGCTACTGTCTGGGGATTTTTGATGTGACTTAAAAAGAGTTTGATTACGATTTGTGGTGATGTTTATACAGTTTTATTTTCACTAACCACATAACATATACATATACACAAGACGAATATAGGAATATGACAAATATTCCGGTAATACAGGAACATTTGCACCCTAAGTTTCACTGTATCGAGAGATCAAGCTTTACAGTTTATTAATGGTTAGGTTATAAGTGCAATATCAAGAAATATTAAATAACTTTTACGCTTACAGAGAACGGAGCTAAAAATACTCAGTCAACACAAATATAAACTCACCATTCACTCCTCCAGTGACCTGCTTCTCTTCAACCGGGTCACAGGACTTTGTGACCATATAATACGTCTCTTCATTCGCTTTCATCGCGACGTACTCAAAATGGCAACCGTCTAACGTATCGTTACACGTTATCCATACATTTCTATTGAATTCATCCTTCTGCTCCAGTAGAGATTCATTGAGGTTTTGTTTGATAAGGGGGAAATGGCAGAAGTCGCATCTCCCAGGCATCGGGTTGTGGAAGCAATCATCACAGTCATTAGTTGCCATGCAGATGTCAGCGCAAAAGTTGTCCTTTTCGAAGTACTGAGATCCAAGTCGGTCGGTGAAGCAAACACATTCGTCGCAAGGACCACAGACGCCGTTCCCCGAACATTCGACCTGAAATATGGGCGTGATAAGTCCAGTCTATGAAAACTTACATAAGGAAAAGTTATGTATTCCGGATTAAAGTTATGTATTATTATAAATTTACAATTATTTAACATAATTTTAAATTTAACCGACGTTTCGCGTGCTTTACAGCGTGCGTGGTCACGGTGACTGAAGACAAATGGTGTTGAATGTCAAAAAGTATCACAGCTTTAGAGAGAGTTTTCTTTAAACCTTGTTATAACGCATGTATAGTGATGTTTTATTAGTAAGACCGATAGTGGATACTTTTTTTAGTACACTGTACGTTTGGCCTCTATAAATTAAACTACATACATCACTTCGCGCCGAATCCGTGCAGGGAACATCACCACGCTTCTTCTCGCAGACTGGCGTTTCACAGAATGTACCGGACCTGTTAAATTAAATGAGATTAACCAAATATTTGGAGAGCTCTATTAAAATTAAAGGAGCAGTGTTGGCCTAGTGGCTTCAGCGAGCGACTCTCATCCCTGAGATCGCAGGCTCGATCCCCGGCTGTGCACCAAAGGACTATCTGTCTATGTGCGCATTATACCATTCGCTTGAACGGTGAAGGAAACATCGTGCGGAAACCGATGGTGTGTGTCAGGCACAGGAGGCTGATCACTTACATGTCTCTTAGATTGACAATTAATAAAAAAAAATCGGGGCCCCAGACCAAAAAGGTTTTAGCGAAACTTGTTTTTTTTGTTTATTAAAATGAATACTATAGGTATATATATAATTTACTATACTATAGTATCTTTAAAATTATTAATGTCCATTAAAAACAGGAGAAGCAATTAAAAAACCAAATTTATTTTAAAACCTAACAAATTTTTCAGGCTTTTGAGTAGTTACGTAGGTAGTTAATAGGTATTGCTTTGAGTTGAAAATTATATGACATTCAAATTTCTGTACAGAAATTTCACCCTACACTGATTTTTCTTTATTAATCAGAAAATAGGAGAGCTTTCACACGTCAAGACAAAATCTACGAAACTTAAAAAAAGTGATCTGCTCTTTACCGAATTAGATGCAACAACGATTCCTTTAATACATTTTTCAGAAAGTTCACGACAAGCTAACATTATAAAATTCCTTGATATCTTTATTCAGAATATAACCGCTCATTAGTAATGTTACGTTTTAATGATGCCGCCATGAAAGTAGGCCTGTGAAGTCATTATGACTTCGCAGTTGTAATAAACAAGGGATCTTTTGTATGGCTGCACTCGGAATTAGTTAATGGACAATAGCAATGAACATATCAATGTAAATGTAATCAATTACTGGATGTAAGCTTCCAATTGTAGAAGTTTTAAAATTGAACACGGCTGTTTATATATTAAAAGGAAATAACTATTTAATAATGCTAAAAGACGAATGAGACTGCTTTATTGAAGTTTTGTCTGTAGAGTATAAACCATTATATTTACGGTGAAGATCATTGAATTATGTTTACTGCAAAGTTACGCGCCAAATTGAAGAGCAACCCTAGACTATACTTCTACAAATATATTTTTGAAATGTTTTGTATTAAAATTAGAAGCATATTTTCTGCGGTCTTTTTCGCTTCACTGATTTCCTCACAATGTTTGAAAAACAAAGAGAAAGAAAGAAATCCTTGGCACCTCACCAGACTGAAACCTCTCAATATTTAGCTGACTTTGTATGTTAGATTCTTATTATCTTACCATCCCTTATCACAAGAACAGACTCCACAGGACAGGCTTCCCCTCCCATTGCATTTCGGCGCCATCAACTCGACCTTAGAACTGCATGCACAAGCACAAGGAACATGAAACTTCATGACAGCCTCTTCACTGACGTTCTGGATATTCAGCTTCACATTAAAGTACTCATGGGTACTGCCTTTGATGGAACAAAAGTTTGTTTCAGGGGACACATCGAGTGTGGTAGTGCAAGAGCCATCTTTGCACGATGTGGTCTTTGTGACGAACACGTCAGATCCCTGCGTTGAATTTACGACGTATTCCACCTGAAAAGAGATGTCCGTTAGGGAAGGGTTTGATGGCATCAATACTGGACTCAGTCTAAAATAGACTTTTGATAAGTTTCAGAGACGAGTATGACTCATTGACTCATGTATGGTGTAAATTTGTATCTTTACATACGAGAACCTAATTCTCGACTCGGAATCTTAACCTAAAATCTCTAGTACCTAGCTCCAACAACTGAAGTAGGGAAAATTAATATCAACTGAAGCAGTAACTGAATGTTAAAAAGGAAGTATTTTTGTAAAAAGTTGTTTAGCCAGACAAATTCCTTTTCATATTCAAGATAAGACGCCGAGCCGTCACAAAATTAGTATATGAATTGCTTTAATACAATTACGTTAAGGAAATTGAGGATATTTAAATTGTGTAATTATTATGGTAGCATGGAGAGAACAATCTCATAATTATAAACATATTACCGTGGATGATTACTCAGGCATTATTTACTCATGCGCTTATTATAATAATTGTACTAGGGCATAAAAATATATGAGTATATTATATGTAAAAGTAAGGAAGGCCAGTTTACGAAATAGATTAGGTAAAAATAGATGGCACTATATTGTATGTGTCACAAAATAGGCATAGGTTTATAAAAGATAGTCTTATGTCATTTAAATAATTTTCTTTATGCTGAAGCAAGACATACCTTCGGATCGCTTTCACTGGATCTGTACTTGATTGCGAGGTTGTGTTCTCTGCCAGACCTGACGGAGTTCACGGCATATTTTGGGTCGAAAAATTGTCCGCTTACTGCCATGTCGTTGTCCGTGGGAATACTTTCTTTCATGCCTTGACACCAGTTATCAGCGAGGTCCAAGTGACATCTTGTGAACTGAAAAAAATTGTCATAATGAAACCAATTCTTGTTCATCCGCTTGTAAAACAAGACAATGTTCTATACTTAGATTTCTTTTATTTATTTGGTACTTCTACAGATAACTTAAAGTTTATTTTATATAACAAAAATAATTAAACTAAACACATAGTGAAAGATGGTATATATAATATATATACAAAAAGGTTTAAAGAATTACCAAAAAGCTTAAACTGTGGCATTTTGGTATAAAGTATAAGTTTTGTTTTATGTAAAGTTATTGGAAGTTTCGATTATAAAAATGAACATACACAGTTATGTAGTAGGTACTACTTGGATACACACCATAGGTCGTAATAAATGTTTTTATATGTAACAATAAATCTTCAAAGAAACAAATAAAACATACTTTTGATCTATACTCGCAAGGATAAATGAAGGTAATGAGCTAAATTCTCTGTACACGGCGAAGAATCCTTTATAAGGAGTTGCTGGTATTCAGTTCCAAGCAACGTAATTGCCTGTTTGAGTATAAACTCTTTAATTAACATTCCAGGCTAACAGATCCTGGATGTTACAATAGGAATCTTTAGGTTTTTAGAAGCTTCAGTATTTTATGTCTAAGAGCAGAATAGCTTGATAATGATTGGAAATAGTTACACAATCCTATCAGCAAGATTTGTAAAACTATTAATAAAAATAATATATGCATTATATATGTATAGAGTTTTAGTTGTCTATTACGTAAAAAAATATATATGAACACCGAGATTATTGTGTATTCCATAAATATATTACTTGTCTTTTCCGATACATATTGCCACGCCTTTAAATCAGAGTTACTAGACACACGTATCACGATATAAGAATATCCTTAAATTAATAAACAAATTCACTGTCTGTATTGTTTTACATAATTACAAGTGTTTAATTGTACAAGATATCATGATCGATTTGTACATATAATAAACCGATTAAAATAAGTGCATAATGTTTATTCAATTGTTTTATGAGCGCGAAATTATGGATGTCAAAACCAGTTTTCGCATGCATCAACATTCAGATAAACGATATTTATTCCCGCATTCTGGGTAATTTTAGTCTATTGCTTTTGTTTGTCCTTGTGTAATTGTCTTTTTTGTTTTTGAGTATATTTATTCTTAAATCTTATTCATAAGTATAATTAATTATTATGTATCATACATCTAGAGCAGGGGTCTATAAACTTTCCAGCCTTAGGGCGATACTGATTACGCTCGTAATTATCGTGAGCCAAAATCATATGTCTTATGCTTGTTTTTGTTATGTTTTTATCACAAAAACGATAACGATAAGCGTACAGACAATGTTAAATAGTTAGCTCATGAGCATATCACTGTAGATTTCATATTACAATAATTAGTCAACATAAAATTAAGAATAGGTTGCGTTGCCATTATATAGTATTTAATTATTATCAGAAATAGGCTGATGTTCTCTAAAAGGTTTTCAAGACTTTGAGTCTCGCGGGCGGACACAATTTTCCGCTGGCCAGCATGTGGCCACGATCGTTTCGAATCTGTTATTTTTGTTCAAATTATCAATTGAAAGTTTTTAGAGCTTCACACTAAGTTAATAATGTATATTTGTGGTCAGTCAGTTGCACGAGACAAGTGTCACGTCCTTAAAGTTTTTACTATATGAACTATTTAAACAAAGAGAATTAACTTACCTTTAATTTTTTTAACCTCTGTGCCGCGAAATAGTTTGCATTGTAGTAACGCGAGGTTCAAGTTCCTACACTAATCCTAGTTGAATTAAACACAAATGATATTCAATAGAATTAATGCTGGTTTATTTCCTTAAGATACTGATTACTGGTCGTCGGCGACGCTCTTGACTAACGTTTTGACAGAGCATAACATTTTGTTTGATTATATTTAAATGCAAGGGCCTAGGATTAAGATTTTCATAGCAAAAGGTATTAACTTTCATTATACAGTTCACGCTTAGATATTATTCACAACTATTTTTTCCGAAATGGTAATTCAACTTTATTAATGTAGCATTAGCCTAAAACGCCCTTCCCCAATGATTTATTCTTAGTAGGCCGTTTTATCCTTCACCATTCTTCAAAAACGTATTACGTTTAAAACTCCCATCACATACATTCACTAAAATCTTAAAACAGTACATCTCCAATCTGGAAAGGATCAGAAAATATTCTTGTTCTGTGGTCGACCATCTTTAGTTTAATTATTAAAAATGAGTTATAACAATTATTGTCAAGTACTGTTTACATGTAAAAGAAATACACAAGGGAATTTAGTGTAGGGCTAGGCAACTTTATACGTAAATATCCTTTATTATAGGTTTAATAAAGTTTCTAATTACTTTCCTTAATTTACTTTAGTACTAATATTTACAAAGCCTCTTTATATTATGCACGTCCACGTACATAACTGTCACAATAAGTACTTTAGATCGACGCGTTTTACCCAATATCGTTTATGCAGTTAGACTGCACGCTGTTTTATCGACGATCAGTTGGACACTTTCTAGGATCGATGGATTAATTAAACTTGCATTTCCATATTAAACTAGACACCCGTCTCACGTCACGTGAAAAGTTATCTTAGCATGTACTTACACATCGTAATTGCCGGATCACGAGTCCAAAGTCACTTTGATGAACATTTCGTAAGTGTTGCATTAGCCTTTAATAACAACACTGTAGATTACTTTAGTAACTTTTCTTCAGCCTAAATCCGGATAAGTCATTAATATGCTTGTTATATTGAATTTATGTTATTTATCAATTGGTCTTATGAGAACAATAACAATAAGCCGGTGGTTACAACCATGTTGATATAGTTAGTATAAGCCTTCAATTGACCGATATCAACTTGGCTAGATGTCTTATATTTTTCAACATAAAATTAGAATCCACTAGTAAACTAAATTTAATATTTCTAAAAAATTCGACTTCTTTATGACAAGTAAGTTTTTATTAGATTATTAGTATTAGTTATCTTCCTATTACCGACGGACAAAATCTGTCCGTGGGCCAGATGTGGCCCCTGATCTAGAGTACGTTATTTTAGTTCAAATTATACAATTGAAAAGTTTTTAGGAGCTTCACACTAATGTTAATAATATATAAAATACTAGTGGAGCCCACAGACGTTGTCCTGCATGATATTTAAAGCGATTAGGATATTAAGCAAAGTATGAAAGTACCGACTGCAGTGCCATCTGCCGGGCTGATTTGTGAATCTAAACCATTCCCAGATCCCCTTGAACACACACAAAAAATTTCATCAAAATCGGTCCAGTCGTTTGAGAGAAGTTCAGTCACATACACACGCACACAAGAAATATATATATTAAGATGTGTGGTCAGTCAGTTGCCAGCGAGACAAGTGTCACGTCCCTTAAAAAGGTTTTATATATAAAACTATTTGTGAAAAACAAAGACACATCACACTACTCCACCTTCTAATGTTTTTTTAATGCCTCTGTCGTCCCGCGAAATGTTCGCATTGTATAGCGCGATTTTCAAATTCCTACACTAATCCTATTAATTAAACGCAAATGATATTCAATAGTATTAAATGCATGGTTTATTCCATGAAGATACACTGATCTGTTACTGGTCAGTCGGCGCCGCTTGGACGTAATCGATTTTGCCACAGTTTACATAACCACTTTTGTTTTTGATCATTATATTTAAATATCACTGTCCTAGGATTAAGATTTTCATATCTAAAAAGGTCATTAACCTTACATTATACAGTTCACGTTGTCTGGTATATTGATAACAATTATTTTTTAAATGGTAATTCACTTTTAATATATGTAGTTTCTTTTAACCTAAAAAACGCACTTCGCCCAAAGCTTTATTCTTTAAAATATCCTTTTTATTGTGTTTAATAAAGTTTTTTCTAACTTTCTTTCCTTAATTTACTTTAGTACTAAATATTTACAAAGAATCTTTATATTAATGTAAGTGAACGTACATAATTTGTCACACACACAAGTTGTTTAAGATCGAGGCGTTTTACCCAATATAGTTGTTATGCGTTTAGACTGCATGCTGTTTTATGAGATCAGTTGGACACTTTCTAGTGATATATGGGATTAATTAAACTTGCACGTTTCCATATTAAACTAGACACCCGTCCACGTCAGGTGAAAAGTTATCTTAGCATTTATCTTACAAATCAGTCGCCGTACCGAGGCGGTAACAAAGCCTTTGAAGAACATTACTTAAGTTTTGTTGTTAACCTTTTAATAACAACGACTGTAGTACCCTTTCAGTATTATACTTTCTATCTTACAAATGCTGTTAAATTTGGAATAAGGCGATCTAATATAGACTATGTTAATATTGAATTTATTTTATTTAGTCAATTGGTCTTATGTAGAAGCATATCACTAGCAGGTGGTTACAACCGGTTGGATACTTGTTATGTATAAGCCGTTCAATTGAGCGATAAACTTGGCTCGGGATTTCTTTAAACCGATTTTTCTCTACATTAACCTTCGACAATCCAAACTATAAGGAAACTCGATATTTCCAAAAACATTCGACTGATGTATAACAAATAAGTGTTTTATTAGATTAAATTAGTAAAATTAGTTATCTTACGTATTACCAACGAATAAAAATTAATTATGATACCATGTACCACAGACAAGGTAAATTCTATCTTTATCAATCCTTACACTTTTATTTCAGAATTGCCTTGCAATTTACCTTTCAAATAATAATATTATTATTCAAGCAGAAAAGCTGACGCGGCCGCAGAGCAGACGGAAAATAATAAACGGCTCAAATATAGATTTTTCCTTCCAGTTTGATTTTGTTCCCTTTGGAGTAGAGACTCTTGGGCCATGGTGTTCAAGTGCACAGGCGCTTATTAAAGATTTAAGTTGGCGTCCGGTAGATAGTACGGGTAACCCCAGAGCTGGTGCTTTCCTTGCTCAACGAATAAGTATCGCTATACAGTGAGAAAATGCTTATGGTAGCAAAAGTGCACTGCCACTGGGACCAAATTTTTTAAATTTACTTTAGT